CCCCTCCATTTGACTGTTTTTAATGCTATTTAAATTTTTTTTCAATTTTTGTTTTTGTTTTTTTTATTTCTTTTTTTTTTTTTGCTTTTTTTTTGATTCCGTTTTCTTTTTTCGCTTTTGCGCCATTACCATTACTGTATTTCTATTTCTATTGCCATTTTCAATTTTCAATTCCATTTACTTAGTACAAACCATTTTTGTAGCCATGTTTTTATGACATACAATAGCGTATGTATGTGTACTTTCAGCGATTACAAATTTATGAGTGCATAAATATGCAAGTTTGCATTGAAGAAAACTAACATATATACATACATACATACATACATAGATTCATTAGTATGTATATTTATGCATAAATATTCAATATATGTACATACATATGCATGTTTGTATGTATCTATGTCAAGTTAGTTTGCGTATGCGCGGTGTTTAGTAACAGTGTTTTAAATTCTTATCACAGAACACAAAATTGCTTCGCAGCATGCGAGCTTTCAGAACAAAAAAAAAAAGCTGCACAGCCACTCGGCCTCAGTTGCGACGGCTATTGTATGGAATATATACTCACAAATATACATATGTATGCATGTATAGATGTTTGATACACAATGGCATGCCATAACATAAAAGTGGTTTTCTTGTGTTGGCAGAAAATAAAGGAAGAAAAAGGCAAATAACTATAGATGAGCACATACACACATACACATACGTGTACATATACACACATAGTTAGGTACATAAGTATGTATATATTTACATTGCTTAAAACCATGCGCAAGCTCAAACGAACAAACATTCATACATATACATATATGTGTCATATATAATATATATGATATAATGTCTGTTTGTATGTACACTTTGCCCACACATAATTTTTCATAAATCCTCTTGGGAGACGCTGCCAGAGAATTTGCAACATTGCAAATATTTTTGTTGTTGGTTTTCGCGCTTATGCCGCTTGCAAATTCCACGAATTTAAATGTATGTTTGTATGTATGATATGTAAATATTGAAACTTGAATTTCATGATCTGTTTGTTATTTACTTTATTGCTCAATTTCATTTGAAATTTATTTAATTTTTTGTTTCATTTTTATTTTTCATCTAATATTGACTTAAATTCGTCACATATTTGCTGCTGATATTGCTCAATCATACAACTGTACATACATATATGTATTTATTTACGACATTGTCTTTTTTCACTTTCAAAGCAGTTTTCTGCATAAATTCACTATCATCCACAGCATTGCCGCCTGAATTGCGCTTGAAGCGCAACACGGATGACGCATCTGCTGCGAAGCGTTGTAGACACATGTGAACGCGTTTTTGATGAAATCGCGTTGTATTTGCCATATAAGGCATGGGTATGAGTAAAATGCAAATAAATATTTTTTTTATTGTTTTATTGAGCGAACGCTACAGTTCTTTTTTTCGCAGAAATTTCCTCTAAAATGACAGTTAAAAAGGAGTTGTGGATGATTTATACCTGAGTAACCACATACATATGTGTGTACGTAAATGTATGTAGACAGGAAGATTAATGTACATATACATGAATATGTATGTATTCAGTTAACACTTTATTTCAAGCGAATCTTCATATGACTCAAGGTTAGTAGGTTATGTGTGGACATGTTGCATGAATTTTTAGTAAATTTTATCGTTCAATGTTTTTTGCCTATAATTATACTTTATTTTATTAAACTATTTATTAAAATAAGTTTTCTTTTAATTTTATATAATATAAATTTATTTTATTTTAATTTATCTTTTTTATTTTATTTTTTTTTTAATTTTATTTTATTTTATTTTATTTTTTTATTTTATTTTATTTTATTTCATTTTATTTTATTTTATTTTATTTTATTTTATTTTATTTTATTTTATTTTATTTTATTTTATTATTTGTAAATTCTATGCGATAAAGTTTGCACTGTAAACATTTATTGCAATGCACCTAAATGTATGCATCGCTTAATTTTGACAACCATTTAGGTTTTCGAGATACAGATTAGACTATGACAAAATATCTTAGGGCAAGTTAGAAACAGGCGAAATTACTGAGTCATTGGAAGTGCGCAAGATCTGGAGTTTGAGTGCTGGTCCGATAATAAATTAAGGAGTCCACCTTAGTTAAATATTAACTGCCATGCGCTTAAATGTAGGCAATGTTTTTTTTTTAATTTTTTTTTTTAAAGTTAAGAGAATAAATCTGATTAACTTCAGCTATTTTTTATTCTTTCTCACTTTTGAGTTATTGAGTGTGACCTAAATTTGTATATATGTACATATATAGGTATATATGTACATGAACGCATTTAAAATTGTTGTCAGTGCCATTGGCCGACTTTCAAATGTACAAATACATTATTCAAAGCTGTTACAAGGACTCTTCGCACAAAATAGAAAAGTGTTAATCATTTTGAGCAGGTCAAGGTGTTTCTCAGTCCTCATTTTAACTCTACTAAAATGAGTCATACTGATGAATTAAAAAAATAATAAAAATATGGATACACAGAAATGAAATTTCATGTCACGGCGAGACAAATCGATTTACATATGTTTAACTGTTCTTCCGTCCGTCCGACTGCGAACATAATAACTTTATCATGAATTGAGATATTTTGATGCAACTTGGTTACGCACATTTCTTGGTTCATTTCATATGTTTACTCTCCATTCTTCGCTTTCCATAAGATTGCATAACAGAAAATGGCAATAAAGTTTCAGAAATAGACTAACTTTTTTTTCACCCATCTGTAGACTTGAGATCGAATTGATAAGGAATTAATCAAATAAAATTGATCTATCCTAACGGATATGATAGTTACAGTGAGTTATAAACTTCAGCTAAAAGAACTCTAGCATAAGTCCACAAACAAGTCTACTATATTCCATTTAACTGATCGTCAATCATTCTGTGAAATTCAAACTCTGGCGTCTGTCGTTTAATATAAATAACAGCCAAGTCTCGATTGCTCGGTTTAACCAGAGCTTAGTCCCTCTCACTTCTTTCTTACATTACTTTGTGGTTGTGCGTGTTGTAACCGCAAAAATTATTGGGTTTCAGAGAATGCTGCGGGAGTGATAGTCCTTGGACGGATAATAAATTCGAGTCGTATTAGTATGAAGACACGACTGTCGCGGACATTTTAGTCGCTTCTTACGACCGGCTTACTTTATCGCGGGTGAATTCTTGTACTCCTAATCTCGAGGGGGTATTTGCTACATAATATTTTAATTAATATGGTATAATATGACCTAATTTATTTTTTTTTATTTTACTTATTATTTTTAATAAAATTTTTTGTTTTCGATTTTTTGACTTTCTTCAATTTAATTTTATTTTTTCTTTTACTTTATTTATTAAATTAATTAAATTTTATTTTACTTTTATTTAATTTTCTTTTATTTTATATGATACATTTTATTTTATGTCAACATAATTTCATTTTTATCTTATTTAATTTAAATTTATTTTGTTTGATTTTTTTTTAATTTAATTTCATTTAAATTTATTTTATTTGAATTTTTTTAAATTTAATTTAATTTACATTTATATTATTTGAGTTTTTTTTAATTTAATTTAATTTAATTTTATATTCTTGTATTTCGGCTTGTTGCTTTTCTTTATTTAATTTTTTATTTGTTTTATTTGAATTAATATATTTTTAAATTTAATTTTGCTTCATTTTTTTTACTTTTTTTATTTTATTTTTTTTTTCTATTATTTTATTTAATTTTTTTATTTGTTTTATTTGAATTTATATATTTTAAAATTTAATTTTGCTTCATTTTTTTACTTTTTTTTATTTTTTTTTCTATTATTTTATTTATTATTTTGTTTTAAACTTTATTTTATTTCTTTTCTATTACTTTCTTTTACGTTATTTCATTTTATTAAATTATATATTAATTTATATTAATTAAATTTTTATTGATTTTAAATTAATTATTATTGTTTTATTTTACGTACATTTAATTTTTCTTTATTTATTTTAAATTTGTATTATTTTATTTCGATTTATTTAATTTAATATATTTATTTTTAAAGTTATTTTAATTTACCTAATTTTCTTTCAATTATTTATTTATTTTTTTATTAGTTTCTTATATTTTAATTTAGTTAGTTTTTTATTTAACATAATAAAATATAATTTATTTTTATATTATTTATTTATCAATTTTTTTTTTATTTTATATGCTTTTTAAAGTGTTTTCCATTTTTATTTAAATTTAAGTTTTATTACTGCTTTCGTTTTATTTTGATTAAATTATTTATAAACAAGAATCAATAAATTATTGCTATATTTAACTACATATTTAATTATACAGTTGCACGGCTTTTGCCATATGCGCTGGAGTAGGTGTATTAACATATGCACATATAACGTATTGCCACAGCACAGTATTTAATTCAAAAATTCGCCGTTACGCAGCATACTTTCATAATTAAAACAAAAAAAAAAAAAAATTCTTGCCAAATCTTTAAACCTCAACACTGAAATTTAATACGTGCATAAATCGCACACATGTGTGCTTGTACGAGTAATGTATGTATATAGCATTAATTTCTCCATAGAAATATACATACATATTGGTATGTATGTGTGTATGTATTTAAGCACGACTACATGCCGTGTATGTCCTTAACACAGCTTTCGTTACCCGAACAACAGCCTGGCGGCACTCAGCGGCAATTCGCGGCAGAGGCAGAGGCAGAAGCAGGCAGTCAGGCCATTCTGTCTTTCAACAACAACAATTACATACACTCTATGAAATGATTTTTTTTTTGTTTTTTTTTTTTTGTTTTTTCACTTTCCGATTTCAATTTCGAAAAGAAACACATTGTACATTAACTTTTCCATTTTTCACTCCCCCTCCAAACTACAAGACATAATTGCGAAATTTAATATATTATTTTTGTGTTCATTTTTTCCCTGCTTATTATACATACGTATATGTATGTGCGACACACACACACATTGACATACCAGAACTATTTAGGCACCCAAAAATAACCCATCCCAGCAGCAGAGCGGCGGCGACGGTGGAGACTGCATTGTTGCGCACTGATGTCATGGCTGGTGGCTGGCGGTTTCGCAGGCGCTGGCTTTCCCGAAGTGAAAGAGAAATTTTTCGATAATTTGTCCCAATGACAATACGGGGAATCTGCCGCTGATTAATGCAGATAAATGTGAGATCCGCTTGCGCCTTTGTAGGTGTGTTCCTGTGTTCCTGTGTTGCTGTGTGTATTTGTTGATGGGTTGGTTGGTTGGTTGGTTGGTTGTTGGTAATCACAAGACAAGCAGCTGCCGGAATATATATATATATTTTTTTTTTTTGAAAATAACGCGTTTGCACTTTTCGGTCACTCGTTGCCACAACAACAAAATTTATTATAATTTTTTTTTTAATATTTCTTAGTGCACTACAAAACTTGTAAATAAAAATTTTTGTAGATTTTTATTTATTTATATAATTTTTTTCTTGCTATTTGACAACAACACTCCTTTAATTATCGCTTTACAACAACTACAAATCCAGTTGACAGGACTCTTTTCGGCGAGAATTTTAATTTCAATTCCGATTTTTTAATTTTCCTACTTCTCTCTTCTGGCGCAGAAGACTGAATGCACACCAACGAAGGCGGAATGTTTTGATAGTTTTTTCGCACAGCCACACAACAGCGTACTGAATCACTACACTCGAAATATTGGACTCGCTGCCAGGCGGCGAATCGTTTTGTCGTTGCCGTTTGCCGTTCGCCGTTTGTCGCTGCCACAGCGCTATGTAGACTCGCTGAGCTGCGCTGTCAATGCTGCCTGCCACTCTATTGCTGCTGCTGCTCTTGCTGTTGCTGTTGCTGTGGCTGTTGTCACTGTGGTTGTTGTTGTCGTTATTGCTATTTAGTCGGTTGTTGTTGTTGTTGTTGTTGGCTGTGTTGTCGTTTGTCGTTATTGGTCGTTCGGTATGTTGATTTGTTTGTCAGTCTGTTAGTTTGCTTGTTTGTATACAACATTCATAAAGCCCCAGTCAGGCAGTCGAAAAAGAAGAAAGCCAAAAAAAGTAGCCAAAGTCACCACACTGCGGCGGCATGCGCTGAAGCTCCAGTAGAATAACAGAAACAACAACAAAAATAACGACAAAAGCAACAACAACAATGTAAATATATGTATGCTGTAGAAATGTAACGGATTTCGTTTGTAAAAGAAAATGAGCTTTCGATTTTAAAACAACGGTTTTGACTCCATTTGCTCAGGACAAGAGAACATAATCGGCGTGTGTGAAGAGACATTTTGGACCAGATTGCCCGTGCGAAGCAGTATTAAACGGCGTTCGCGTAGGTCCAAATACAAGCTGTAGCAGCCAGAATTAAGGATACAAATGAAGCATGGTTGGATAATACTGTCTAAGCGAGGTCCCAAATCGTTCATATCGTCCGCAAAAATTCTGTATCTCTTGAAGATTCCCATCATCGAAATAAAAAAAGGAACCCTAATGGACTCTCCACATTACCTCTGCACTTCGACTGATGCGCAGACCTGACGCAGGTGAAATTCAGAATGAAAGTTTAGCGATCAGAAACGAAAGAAACTCTCTTCGAGAGACTACAGCTCTAAATCTGAAGTATATACCTTCTATGCTGCCCCACTTTGTGGCAAGTAAAGCCGTCTGCAAGTCTCACGAGCGGTCATTTCTATAGATTTTAGAATTTGCAGCTCCAGCTCGGGGTTCCTTTTCAACTTTGGCTTCAGTTCCTGGGGCTGTCGCTGGCACTACGAAGACTTTCCACCTAAAATTGCAAAACTGGCTCCAACATTCGCATTAACAGTCACCGGTATTGTGAATACTTTACTCGTGACAGACGTTTTGTACAGATAGTCCGGTATTTCCCAATATTACCACACAATTCCACGACATGCGGCTTCATTTGAAGCTCAGGCTTGGACTCCTAATGAAAATTGCACGGCTATTAAGGCTCAATTTGGAGAGTATTCGAGCTCAGTACTAAATGTAAAGTGCTGCATTTCCATGTTACTTTGGTTTCGGGAATTATGTATGCTTGTGAACTTTAAAAGGAGCGCCGAGTCTCATTGCAACAATGGTTGGTAACTGCCACTGCGACTTCGAAAGATATCCTCATAACCTGTCTTGGAGAATAACTAAATCAGTGGAAAGGCAACGGACATTCAATCAAACGCTCTTGTAGAAAGCCGCAGCGTTGGATTTCTCAAACTTCGGCTTGGTCTCCGACTGTAAAACTGTCACCGGCAACCCCATTAAATAGTGGCTCGTACTGTGAAAGGCTTACTTCTGACAAATCCTTTGAACTGATAAAGAAATGACGGAGCTTTTTTCGCAATTCAACAACTTCAATTTCGTTTGAACCTTTGGTTTTTGACTCTGGTGAACTTCTTAATAAAAATTAGCTACTAAGGGTCTTCCCAGAGAGGGAGAGGGTGTAGAACGGCCAAGCAAGTTTACGTTCTTGGCATTCTCTTCATAATACTTTCATGCCACAGAGAGAATACGATGACTATGTCCGACTAAAGAGCCGCTGTATGGCATGTAGATTCCTCTCCAGGCAGCCGTAGAGAGGATTGGACTGGGTTCTGATAAAAAATTAAAAAAAAAATTAGTTTCCGGCTTAGTTGGCGACTACTTTGAAGCAAATTTAAGAAGTCAATACAGTTATCAGTGAGAGGTCTAGTAAATATGTATTAAAAATATTTTTTTCTACCTCATGCAAGGGATTCCGTCAAATATGCTGTCTTCCCTTTCACTTTTTGCTGCAGATAAATTAATTTTAGTTCCAACTTTTGATTGTCGTAATGTCTCATACTGGCTACGTTGAAAATTCGACACCGAAAACTCTATCCGTAAGTTCGCTGCAGCCGCCACATCACTACGTTGTTGTAGTCACATACAAATACCGATATGTACACACACACACATACATAAACATATGTATATTGTTTATTCCACCACCGTTGTCGTTCTTGCCACTACTGCCACTATCGCCGCCACTGCTCTCACTGGTGCTACTTGGCCATCATCGTTACGAGTTCGGCGGGCGCACACAGTCACACGTACACCCACGAACTCAAACGAAACGCATGTGCTTTGCTTGTTTTATTCGCTAATGTAAAATATTTCCTGGGTGCGTATAAAGCGTTTGCTCATACATACATTTATACATACATACATTTATACATACATACATACATACATACATGCATATATACACACATACGGATATTTAATTGTTTGTATGAGTGTATGTGCACATAACAGCTGCAGGCTTGGTGAGGCGACCGGCTGATATATTTATAAATGTATGTAATTAACAGCGAGTATAAAAGTTATGTTATGCAATTTATAACAGTAAATCCAGTAACACACTCATACACATGTATATGCATGTAAATATGTCTACACATATGTATAAGCGCCTGCACTTTTCGTCAAGTGCCAATCAGAGCGTCACACATACTATTTTATAGCATACATTTGTGCGCAAAAGCATTTGAATGTGTAAATAAAAGCTTGAGTTTCGTTGAGTGCCGTTAAGTGAAGAGCTTTTTGTCCGGACTGGAGCTTTTATGTCGAGCACGTAGAAAGGGAAGTGGAAAATATATACGATAAACCAGCTCGTACGCTCTCTGACATTTGAGCACGTAAATTTCTTCACTAGGATATATATGTAGATATTCTCATCTGCTGTATGCACAACTTTCAGAGCTGGAGGGTTTCACACGTCCCGAGTATATGAAAGCTCCACTACAATCGTACTGCCGTACATCTCCTACATCGTATGCATTCATGACCATCGCTCCTATGTAGAGGATCATAAATCTCCGGCTAAACTTCTAATGCCGACAAGTGGAAAAAGAACGATGACCGATTCTTAGTGTGGCCTGTTTATTCGCCTAATAGATAGTGAGAGAGAGAGAGAGAGGGTGGGATATTTCCCATATGCCTCGCACTCTTGTCCAGTCTGAAGAAAGCTAAATTAACGACGCGGGTGTTAGATTGTATCTAAAGTAATAGTGAGTAAAGACTGTCGGAAACCTCGTTTGATACTGCATTACTTTCGTCTATAATGCCATGTTCCCAAGACTTATCTCGTGATAAGTGGCTCATGTAGAGTATACTCAACTGGGATCAGAGAGGGAAGGTGAGTAAGAAATAGAGTTGAGTAAGCTTTAATGGTCATACAAATGGGTGGTGGTTAGTGTCGTGCGAGGGCCTAATGTATGCAGGAGATATGGTGTGTAGGACGGGGTTTAAGACCGAATAATTTGTGCCGATGACGCTCATTAACAGCAATAGGTTTAACCAAGGTTTTAACAGTCTCTGTGTGTGGCTTGTCGTTAGCTAGCCGCGTCCAGAGGCTCTGTAATATATAATGCTGGATAGAACCGTAAAATCAATTACTTTCTTGCTGTTGTCTATGGCGGATGGGTTCTAGCAGATACCGCGTACCAGCACAATATTGTACTCCTCAACCGGGAGCATAGATGTATGGCTATGCAAATGGTGTTCAGGTGAAATCAGGAGATTTCCTAGAATACTAGGGTTTGCATGTTGCATGTGCCTTGCTAATTCTACGGCCGGCATATTTGTGTAGTAACCGGTGAGCCAACGGCTAACGTCGCTTTACTATTCTTCGCACGAACAATCAGTATTCCAACTGCATCTAAATCGGACATTGAACCGCCAATTCTAACGTCTTTGATCGCGAGACCAGCTTCGCCTTCCTCGATGTTTTCTATATGACTGCGTTTAAGCAGACCGATTAATGTTTCCTCATGATTCGGAATCATAACAGAGAAGCTGAGATCAAGAGCCTTAACCCAACCCAACTCAAAGTACCTATTTTTGGCAAGTAATACCGAATCCAAGTCATTCCAAATCATAACCTGCTTAAATCCTCCGAACAATCAACGCATAAAGGCGTAGATGAAGATGCTTGAGAGTAATTGGAAAAATAAAGCAATTAAAATAACAATACAAGCACATTCAACGATTAGATCTTCAAGCATAATGCCTACAAATTCACTTGTATCCCTTGCACATCCTTAATACCTTAAAGTGTCCATCAAATGAGCTGCCCAGCGAGCTTCGCGCAAGCCATTAAAAGTTTTCCCTTCCGGCCGCAATGTAACAGTCAGATTTGTGTCATCCGAAGAATGCACCTTCAGCGAGCCAGCCATCAGCTCTTTTCCTCCCACCCACCGAATATGCGTTTTGCAGATTTGCTTGACCCTTTTAGAGTCCTTGATGTCTTTTTTTCTTTGTTATTTTTTTTACGATTTTTCGTGTCTCATTCCGAAATTGACAGACACTTAGCAATTTTCAAGCGATGCTGCGTGGAATATTGCCTCGCATACCATTTATTGTATTATTTAATTCGTTACGTACTTTATTAGTTGGTCTGCAATGCTTGTACGTCCGTCTGTCTGACGGTGATTGTCTGCTGGGCGGCGAGTAGCTGCGTTCATTTTTAATGTGTTTCTCCCATAAAGATGTTCTGGGTGCGTATGTCGGTGCGCGTCTTCGCGGACAGAATTTAGCCACTGGCTAATCTTTTGAATTTGTACGCAGCCCCCATCGCCCATCGCCCATCGCCCAACGTACATTGCGTAAATACTTAAAAGTGCTGAGACACAGCGAGGGTCCTTTGATTCGTTTGGGCTTTAGGCTTCTTTTTGGACTCCATTTGTTTGTTGATTATTATTTTGTCGAAAGGAGCTTGGCGGTTT